CTGCCACTAATAGGCCGGGTTTCGTCCTCGTTTTGAAATGGGAGTGTACCACTCTTGGTCTAAAAAAGTGTTTTATTCTACAATGAGAGTGTGGCTAACCAATAGCTTGTCCACCAGCTCTTTATCCGTTTTCACATACATGTAGCACTAGTATCAGTTCAGGCTACTAGTTGATGGCTACATGGTCCACAAAGGACGAAACAGTTCTGTCCGCAGATTGAGTGATACTCCTGTCATGTATGCACGTCACATCTATGCTCCCCGGAGTACGTGAAGTATGTGGATTACAAGGATGGTGGACATGTCACGGAACACTTGGAGGGTATGTCACGGACCAGTCCTGTGATCTTACCATGTTCTCATTCATGTCGTATGGAGCCACGGCAACCAGGCGCTGAGTCAGGCCCAGCAACACAGACATGAACTCCTCAAACTCGTGTGGTAGATAGCCATCTACCAATGCTGTTAGATTGCTTAGCATCATGGTGCCGAACATTACCTGCACACATAGAAACACACACACAGACACACACACACACACACACACACACACACACACACACACACACCGGCAGACACAGACACACACACACACACACACACACATTCACACACACACACACACACACACACACACACACATACACACACACAGACGCAGACACACAGAGACACAGACACACAGACACACAGAGACACAGAGACACAGACACACAGACACACACATTCATAGACACAGACACTTAAACACACACACACGCGCACATGCACACATACACACACACACACACACACACACACACACACACGGAGGCCCGAGTTCTTTTCAATTTGGTGCTTTTTCGGTTTTCACTTTAATATCAATAAATATCACCAGGATGAGAATGAGTGGCTTCACGTGTTGACATACTGAGTAGCATTCAGAAATACACATACCTTTGTCTGCCTGTGGAGAACTTTCATACGACTGAAGATCTCACTCGGCGGCAAGTAACAGACAAATAGATTTTTAATGCCCTTCATCGCTGCCTCCTTCTGAATATCCGTAGCCTGAGAAACCTCTGAATCCACAGAACATAGCAGGGAACATAGCATGAAAAGGGAACATGTTTTTAACTCCTTCACCAAGGGGTGAAACGAATATTCTAAATCGGAACGAATCGAATATTTTTTCTAAACGAACCGAATATCGAATATTCTATAGAGGTTATGCGAATGACGTCACGAGGAGCGCCAAGGCGGCTGCGAGTGGCAGGGGTGGCAAAATGAAGTCGTTTCTGCTTGAACTATTTTTTACTAGTCTTTGAGAGGAAAAGTAAAATTTGTTGTTGGTTGTCGACATATCGTTCCTCACTTTATTTCCGCTGGTGTCTCGCTTGCTGAAGTTTTTAGCCTTCAACATGCCGAAGAGTTGTGCAGCCGTCGGATGTAGCAATCGTGCCGATCCTGGAACGGCTGTGAAGTTTTACAAGTTTCCTGTAGCGGACGAGCGGCGCAAACTATGGGTTGCGGCTATGAGACGAGAGAATTGGAAGCCAACTGACAGTAGCAGGATCTGTTCAGACCATTTCGTAGGCGCAGAGAAGAGCAACGATCCACTATCTCCCGCTTACGTTCCGAAACTTTTTGAACATGTCAGGACTCCTGTAAAGCGTAAAGCGGAGAGGGATTTGGTGGCATATGAACGCCGAGCGAAGCGGAAGCTGACGTTCGAGGAGAGCAAGACGCAGACACCAGTGAAAGTGGACGCCTCCGGGAATGACTTCACAGAGGCAATGGCAGATTTGCCTGGTGCCTATGGTGCAGAGGTAGAGTCTGATCCTGTAGCAGTCTCCAGTGTCTCATCGCAGACTGACATGGATATGGAGCACTTGACGCGGCTGGAGGAGACAAACAACTGTTTGGTCCTGGAAAGCAAACGGATGCCACACGCTCCAGGACAAGGTGACACCTTGTCAATCGAGTCGTTTGAGAAAGACAACGCGAAGGTGCTCTTCTACACTGGTTTGCAGTCTTTTGGGACCATGATGGGCATATTTGAACACGTGAGGAAGAGAGTTCCACAGCACCACCGCCACACGCTCTCTCTCTTCCAGCAGTTCTTGATTGTTCTCATGAAGCTTCGGCTGAATTGTCGGGACCAAGACTTGGCGTACAGATTCGGCATTCACCAGTCGACCGTGTGCCGGATTTTCCAGCGCTGGATCCGGGTGATGCATGTGATGCTGGGACCACTTGTCAAATGGCCGGAAAGGGACGAACTACGCAAAACTCTGCCACTTGAATTTCGTAAGCATTTCCCGGGCTGTGCTGTCATTATTGACTGCTTTGAAGTTTTTTGTGAACGACCTTCTGATCTGATGGCAAGAGCTCAAACGTACTCTCACTATAAAAGCCATAACACTGCAAAGTTTTTGATTGGCGTAGCGCCACAAGGTGTCATTACATTTATTTCGCATGCATGGGGCGGGAGAGCCTCAGACAAGTTCATCACAGAGCACTGCGGTCTGCTTAGTCACCTAAATCCAGGTGACCAGGTGCTGGCTGACCGTGGTTTCACTGTTGAAGACAGCGTTGGCATGTTCTGCGCAGAGTTGGTGATGCCCCCATTTACGAAGGGGAAGAAGCAACTCTCCAGGCTGAAATTGGACAGTGCTCGACAAGTGTCACGCGTCCGTATCCATGTGGAGCGAGTGATTGGAATGCTTCGCCAGAAATACACGATCCTCTCTGGCACTTTGCCCATTGCTTTCCTCATGCATGACGATAAAGCTACATCATGTGCATTCATTGACAAGGTTGTCACCGTCTGCTGTGCTCTGTGCAACTGTTGTGAGTCCGTCGTACCTTTCGAGTAAATTACATCATGCCGCTTTGTCAGCTGTAATGATTGCTATATTATTATTATATTATTATTCAAATTTATTATTAACCCTTTGTGCTTTTTGGACTGTCTGGATATACCGGCAATTATATTTCTGTTTTACCTATTCTGCAGTTGCATGCGCATGTGTTCACCTCATTGACCTCGCTTGTTTCTAGTTTCTTTTGTCTGGCTAGCCAAGCTTGCTTGGTCATGGCAACGCCAACAGACTTATAATAATAGTAATAATACTGGCTTCTATCATCACTCACGACATGCCTCCGTTTCTTGTTGCATCAATATAATGACTCCTGGTCCAAATAGGGACAACACAATATAATAATTATGAATAGCCCTGAAACCCAACTTAGGGTGCTGGGTAGTGCGCGATGTACCATCAGAATAATTTTATGTAGTATGCCCAGCACCAAAGAACAACTCAACTTATGCCAACATCACCCGGAAGAGACGTAAAGAGCGAAGTGTTTGATGTGTAATGATGGAGTTCCTCTGTTCACATGCATAAGCAGTGAGTGGTCTTCACGCATGTCCTGGGACCCACAAATACGAATCAGCATTATGGTCCTTCAGAGATACATGCAAGCAAAGAAATACAAGAAAGGTAACGGAAATCGTTGTGAAAGCCCAGCCACCGATTGTATGCACACACGTGGCAAGTGCAACAGCAAGTACCGTGGAAGGCACAGCAGAACAAGTTGAAAATGCAACTCTAGAAATACCAGAATAGCAGGCTCCATGAATATAATCACTTCTCAAATGCTTGAGACTTGGATTTACAAATGCTACGACAAAAATGACTATGTACATGGAAAGTTGGTTGCACCCCATACTAGAGGTCGAGCTTTTCTGCCGCCTTGACTGGACATTTGACTGACTCACGACTGCCATTCAGAAACTTGACAAACTCACGACTTCCATCCAGACACTTGACTGACTCACAACTGCCATCTAGAGCAGAGAAGAAGTCCCTCGAGCCCTCCTTCCGGCAAACCTGCAAGAAAGCACCACTCCCTGCTCAATACACAGTGTTTCGGGGAATTCACCCCTCATGCAGTTGAGCTTGAGTAGGCTGACGAACGTTGTACTTAGCGACCAACATTCCTATAAACTTGTCGCCGAAGTCGCTACCACTGTAATTGTACATGCATATCATTATTTAGTGGCAGATTTAATCTTGCGACACTCCGGGCAGGTCCAGTTCTTGCGCTTTGGCTTACTCTTCAGCTGCAAACAAGCCATGTGGAACAAACGAATACTGCAATCGTTGTTGGAACATCGCAGTACCTCGCCAGCCTTCACAGACTTGCAGTAGCAAAACTCCGGAGGGCGTTCTTGATACGCAGTAGATGTTGTACTGGCAGCACCAAGTGGTTCCGAGGCTGATGTAGCCGCTGAAGACGCATCGGCAGGAAGAGTGGAGAACGTCTTAGTGAACCATTTCCCAACAAGCTCTGGGAGAACAGCACACTGGAAGAATTTCTTGGCACCTGCTACCGCTTCACGGATGAAATCTGTGTCTGCACAGATACGCTCCACAAACAGCTGACCTTCATTCCACACAACAAAGTCACAGTACTGCACCTTACACACCAGCATCTGTAGCTGTACTTGGTAGTAGTACATGTGGTCTTGCTTAAGATGGAGTGCTCCGCCGGACTTTACTAGACAGAACTTCCCTGAATCGGCAGCATCATGCAGGCTACTGTCTCGGCACCCGTACGGGCACTTCACTTCCACCACGCCGTTGCCACAGCAGGAGCACTGCACAAGGGAGTCGGGAGTAGCGCCAAGATATGGATAGTCCGGATGAATTACAAAGCCACTGGGCAGTACTTCAACCTTCTGATGTGTTGCACTGGCATGTTCACTACAGTTGTCAATTGCCTTCTGCTCGTGATCACATCCCCATTGTGTGGCTTTGCTACGAAACTTGTGTGCCTCAGGGTAACACACAGAGCGGACTAAGGACGCAGAGGGCTGGCTAATATCCGTGCGAACAGCAGACTTCAACTTTGAAGCTGTGATCCGGCCGGCGCGAAATTCAAACCAGGCCTTGGAATCTGCCTGGTTCCGCGTAGCCTGTTCCACAGCGCGTGCTTCCTCCTCTGAAACACAGACCGCTGGAAATACTGCCTCGCAACGAACGAGCAGGTCCCCAAAACTAGCATCCAGCATGTCTGGTTCGTACAATAAATCCAAAATGGGTGGATATCCCTCGGGCTTGGAAGGTACGTACCTATCGCAGAACCCGGGAACAAGGGAGAGCAATGACGGTTTACCGGCTTGACATAAATTTCCATATAGTTCACCCAGCTCAGCACTGGAGGGTTGCTTAATATCAGCAGGGACCTTCTCCTCCGACCTACGGCGCTTGCTCCCATGCTGTTTAGTGTCGGGTGCAGTGAAGTTTATGTCACGAATCCTGGCATACTCCACCTCCTTCATTGAAGGAGTTGACCATTGGCACGGCAATGAAGTGCTTCCTGTGTTCTGAATCAGCTGCGTTCTAGAATACAGGCTGAACAACAGTGCAGCAACGTGAGAACAAGACTCACCAAGACCAGCCATGCAGGTGCAGTGTGCACAAATCACGCTACCGTCGTTTTGCGCAGCAATCCAGGGTTGCAGATGGGTGCCGGAAACTGACTGGGAATGGCGGACTTTGGCGATGACAAACTTGCTGTCACATGTGTCAGATTCGGACGCTGGAAACGCACGAACATCGCCGACCCAGCCACTGACAAGGTATTTGTAGCCTTCCAAGCTCTTGTAGGCCTTGAGCTGCTCCTTGGTGTAGGGGCTGGGCGCGTTGACCAAGAAATTGTAAATATCGGGATAGTCCACAAGTGGAAATTTATCTTCCTCTAAAAAAATACTTCTGGGCAGGTAAGGATCACTCGAGTCTGGTGAAACGCGCTCGAGCTTTTCACGGTACCGGCATTTGCTGGAGTCATCTAACTCGTCATACACTTTTGAAAACTTGGGAGAAGTCATGGCCACTGATTCAGCGTTCGTACAATAGTCCTTTGTAAAGAACAGAAGAGGAACGTAACAGCGATACAGGAAATTTCCTTCGTGAAATTATTCCAGGCACATGTACTTCTTTTGAACTTTTCATCTCTTTTGCCACCCCTGCGGAGCGCGGCCGCTTTGGCCGCCTACACGCCGCCTGCACGTGATCCTTTCGCATAAGCTCTATACCAAAAATCTTGAAAAGAGTTTGGCTAGTCCCCGGTCGTTCTAGACCAAGTGACAGTGGAGTCATGTTCACTACTCTTGTGAGTCATAGTCCCCTTTCTCAACATATAACACATGTACATAATCACTCCATCCGTTCTGGAATTATTACGATAGATCGACATTAGAACAGAGTGTGCGCATGTGTCACAGCGAGCGAATATTCCAAAGGGAAAAATATTCTTTCCATCACGTTCGAAGCGAATATTAATCAAATATTCCTTTCAACCCTACCTTCAACTAATGAATAAAGGAACATACGTAAATATTATTCCACCTGGGGTGGTTGCGCCAACATAAGGCTGGTCAGCATGTACAAAGCCAGGGCTCAAATCCAGGACATACACGCTAGCCTGCCTGAAATCAGGACCTTACCCCACCCAGCAAGGTGGACATCCAAGAGCAGCATGAAGGCCCCTGTGAGCAGGGTAAAGGCTCCAGGCAGGACAATGACCCATAAGACTAGGGTAAGATCCCCAAGAGCAGAGTGAAAGATCCCCAAGAGCAGGGTGAAAGATCCCCAAAAGGAGGGTGAAAGATCCCCAGGAGGAGGGTGAAAGATCCCCAAGAGGAGAGTGAAAGATCCCCAAGAGAAGGGTGAAAGATCCCCAAGAGGAGGGTGAAAGATCCCCAAGAGCAGGGTGAAAGATCCCCAAGAGTATGGCGAAAGATCCCCAAGAGTATGGTGAAAGGTCCCCAAGAGCAGGGTGAAAGATCCCCAAGAGTATGGTGAAAGATCCCCAAGAGTATGGTGAAAGATCCCCAAGAGTAGGGTGAAAGGTCCCCAAGAGTAGGGTAACCCTTGCAACCTGGATATACCCTGGACCAACACCCTAACTACAGCGTACATACCGGTAACAATCGTGACGACGCTGAGGGCAGGATAGGCATTGGCGACGGACACGGACGTAACGCCACTGCCGATTTCAAGAAATATTTGACCGGCGATAAACGTCTTCAGTGAGTCTGCCCAGCTTACATGGGCTGAAGACTGTCGCATACTTCTCTTCTGGTGTACTGTACATAGAGTGAGAGCAATTCCGACATAAATAAATTGTGTCCACATAATTACTTGTTTCCACATAATAAATTGTGTCCACAGAGTACTAATTCTAAAAAGTCACTACCAGTACACAGAATGGCCTTTACAGCAGGTTTAAGTGCCTGGCCAAAACTTCTGGCGAGCCCTACCACACAGTGGTTAAGTAAAAAAATTGAAAAGCTTCAATACGAAGGGTTCGAAAGTTGTACAGCTAGTCCATAAAGGGTTACGTAGAAATATATTCGGCTACAATCTCTGGAGAAGATTTAACCGAAGATAATTATCTCTACTTTAACCTCTGTATTGTTCCAAACATTAACAGCCTACACTATAGAATAAGAACATGAAAACAAGACAGGCACCGGAACGCACTTGTCGATATTGTAATGCGATTATCCAATCTTGAAAACATGCGTAAATTGAGATGATGTTTGCACTCAGACTGGGTAGTGCTTGAACATGTACATGAGAACATCCGGTTTCAGGGGTTTCAGCGGTCTGGGTACTGGGTACAGTGATTGAGCATGTCGTGTCACTTACGTATGTTACTCATGTCACCATCATGTACTGCAGCCCACAAGCGATCCATCACACGCATGTTCGCCTCAAACACTCCGTCAAAGGTGGGTTTTTCGCCATGACGCTCCAGCATCTAGCCACAAAGAAACAGTATCAGAAGAAACAGGCAGAGAAACAGATTTCTCAAAAGGTGTTTCCATGCCAGTGGAGAAACGGAGCTCTCCATATGAGGAAATGTAGCAGTTACCTCGTCCAAACACCATAGTGCATTGTAGGGCCCATTCAGGTGCTTACAAACATTCAGGTGTTTACAAACAACTAGAACAGATTACTACCAAGCCTCTTTCACAGTCATCCAAAATTAAAACGCAGGCCCAAGCCGAATCTAGAGGGAGGGGACCGGTGTGTGTGTGTGTGTGTGTGTGTGTGTGTCCCATACGGTGCAGTGGTATGTTCAGCGATTTCCAATCGATAGATTGCGGGTTCGATTCCCGACGATTATGGTCACACACGTCTTTCTTCTCTTTCTCAGACTCCTCCTGACTTTTCTTTCATTCTTCTGGGTGGTTACCAACAGCCAGTGCATGCCGGAGTATGTGGTGTGATGTGTGCGTGTGTGAAAAAAATGAAAAAAATGAAAAAGACCAAAAAGTAGGGATTCACTGGCCAGAAAAAGCCACTTCATAGCTGTGTGGTGTAGACCAGGCTGAATAGTGGCGGTCAATTCTTCAGCCTTGCAAGCTGTTGAATGGTGCAATCCCAGCACAAGCTGCTATGGCTTCTGCTGTAGCATCGCTATCATCGCCTCCGGCGATGGGTGTCCAATGGTCCAATGGTGTGTGTGTGTGTTTGTGTGTGTGTGGCCAGAAAAGTCACTTCAATCAGCTGTGTGGTGGATACCAGGCTAAAATTAGTGGCGGTCAATTCATCAGCCTTGCAAGCTGTTGAATGGTGTAATCCCAGCACAAGTTGCTATGTCTAACATACCGTAAAGTCGCGGATAAAAGCCGGGTTTGCATACAAGCACATCGTGGATAGAAGCCTGAAAATCAAACGGGTCAAATTCATATAAGCCTGTCGCGCGTAGAAGCCTGGCTTCTATGCAAGCCCGGATCGGGTAGGTTAAGAGTGCATGCGCTATGTACAGTGCATAGTAAAACTGCCGCCATAATGGTAGTCAGTGGTAGATCTACGCGTGTCGCGCGTAGAAGCCTGTGCATACAACTAACTTTTTACTTACTTACAAGCCTGGCAAAATATCAGTGGTGCATATAAGCCTGGTTTGCATTAAAGCCTGATGCAGAAAGAGGCTTATGTGCTTATAAGTCCGGCTTTTATCCGTGACTTTACGGTAGCTGTTCGCTATCATCGCTTCCGCGATGGGCAGGTTTGAGGTCCGAGGTGTATGTGTGTGTAGGGGGGGGGGGGGGAGAGCATGTATGTTTGCTCAGGTATGCACATCCTTTTGACCAGGGTTAATGGTAATGAATTGGGTATCCACTATCCCGTCAGTTGACATGTATGCCATTGGAAAAGACTGGTAACCGTGGGTAAGAAGATGAGCAGACCGTGGGTCAGGATCAAGCTTTGCCGCCGCACCTTAGCTGTTCTGCTCGCAGTCTGTGGATCTGTTGTAGATCCCATGCAGCTACATGTAGGTCACAGTACATACCCTTCCAGCATTAAAGCAGTCACAGAGCACTTACCTTGTATGAACTCCGGTCATCATTCAAATCCTGAGAGTGCAGTTCCTGTGATGGTGGCATTAGGTACGTCTCATACAGAGCTGGCCATACATTCTCCAGGTTGCTTGGCGGAAGAGTCGGCGTCTCCACGACTTCCTTCTCTACATCTATTCAGAGAAGGCCAATACAACAGCCAGTGTCCAATTTGAATACTACCCAAGCACTGTTCAAAGTCAGAATACACCTTTTAAAAAGGTAGCGGCAGCATATTTCAGTGAGAAGGGCAAGATCTGAGATGGATGGCTTGCGTGTACAAACAATTATCCTGGTAGTTGTTCTGCTTGTTTGTGGTAGCAATCTTGACCACAGCAAGAAAGTGTGTTGCTCGCAAATGTCAAGACGGTGGGAAAAGCTGCAGGTCGAGCATTGCGAGCAACCAGCTTTCTGCTTGCAATATATATTTTGGTCGGTTTACTTATATGTATGACTATGCATTCCCCTATGTTTGTTGTTCAGCATTGATGGTAGTAGCATTTAAAGGTGCTATCCCTCTGTCTAAGACTCCAGACTTTGCAGGCTCAACAACAATGATGACACCGATGACAATCGTGGTGGCAGCGGTGGCAGCAGCAACAGCAAAAGAAGCAGCAGCGACAACAACAATAGCTGCTAGAGAGCTCCCACAGTCACAACATGATCAAGTGGTAGTCACAGGTTGTGTCAAACCCTGTCTTTTTGGACTATATATTATGGATAACCATATTATAAAAACGATGCTTAGTTGCTCCTTGGACTAGAGAAAGTGTAACACATAACAGTGTCTAGCTCACCAGCTCTGCCTTCTTCATCACTTTCTACCAGTGCGCTATCTCCTCTCCTTCTACTTGCCTCACCATGTGCTGGGGCTCCACGGGCATTGCCAGCTCGCTCGGACGACCGCCTGGGCGTGTCCTCTTTTCGGTAAGTGTTATGTGCAGCCACCCGTTTCTCTTGAGGCCTGTGAAAGGATTCATCACTCCGAAATCCGTCACCAAATTTCTTCATGGACATGCCATCATCATGAGAGAGCCGATCGTTTTCTGATCTTCTCGGATATTGCAGTTTCGGCTTTCGGTATGGTTTCTCAAAGGCATGTGGAGCTCTAGTAGATACTACCGGTGCATCCGTACCAGGCTCACGAAAAGCATTATCATAGCCTCTTCTCCTAGATGATGACTGGCCTCTGGATGGATGTGTGTTGATAGTTCCTTCCTCCTTGGAGAAGAGTGCGTCACTTCGACTTGCTCTTGAAGTTTTCAGGCTGGAAAGCTGACGTCCATTGCGAATATCTTTGTAGCTTCTCTGCTCGTTGCTATTGAACTCCCGGTGTGTAGGGTTGGTGACAGGGGACAATAACGCTCTATGAAGCCACAGAAAAAAGAACATCAGAGCACAAGCACTGATTGTGGTCAGCTTGTGAAACTGCGTGACTTTCAGCGTATCTGTGTGCACATGTGTATGTGTGTGTGTGTGTGTGTGTGTGTGTGTGTGTGTGTGTGTGTGTGTGTGTGTGTGTGTATGCATGAATGAGGGGGTTACATCTGCAAGAACTAACACTTTGTGCATTACTCGTGGTAAACTTAATGAATTGCCAGTGCTGCATGCAGTCAGCATGAAACGAGGCTTTCTTCTTTTCTTCTCAGGCTTTCAACTTTGTTGCCCAATAGAAGATGGAGACGAAAGTTCACAGCAAAAGGGCATAGACTGCCATTGAGACCTTCAATGATGGGGTAGACCTAGCTTGGGCCACATATTAGCACAACATGTGGACCATGCATTAAGAAAACAAAGAGTTAATTTACCGAGAATAATACTAATAGGTTGGAAGCGTTTCCGACAATACAAGGAAGCATTTCTGACAATACCGCAACATGCGATACTGCTGAGGGTTCACCCAAAAGGTTACGGTCTATCGCTCTATAGCGTATGGGAACTGACAGGTGGTTGACAGCGCACACTAACACGTGCTGCGGAGTTGCTGCGTGTGTGGCGAACACGGACAGGCCACAAGTGCAGCATGCAGCCATTGCAGGCGCAGGTGACGAGCACAAGTGACATGGCAGATGGCAAATTAAGGACAGCAAGGCCCACACTATTCATTACGCTGCAGTTTGAAAATCCTGCTTCACTGCACTAGGGCCTGGAAGTAAATAGTGTGGCCAGTTTGTACAAGTGTTGACACTCATAGACAGGAGTAAGTTAAGAGGAAAGAAGATACACATCTTCAATTGAGCCCTCTAACCGGAACAAGACACACATCTAAGTGTCTGCAGTGAAGGAAGATGCTGCTGGGCAAACCCAATCTGTGCTCATCCAGGACTAGATGTGTGTTTCTCAAGCACCTATAGACAGGTCTTCACAGCATACACATTATGATGTCAGTGCCTCCTTGTCCACTGAAGAGGATGCTGTCATGCCCAGTCGCTAAAAAACGACTTTCTCAAGTTGCCCAAGAAATGGGTGGCACTGAGCTCCCAAGGTCTTCTCAAGTCTTGATAGGAAAACTTGAAAATCACTTGGGGTAGCCTAGTGTCTCATTGCCGCTGACTACATTTGGCGAAAGGGAGGGAAAGATTGGGATGGAATGTCTGCAAAACCGGGACTAACGGCGACCCAGTTACACGGTTTAACCACCATCAGTGCACAATGCCACTTCTGCGATGAGCTTTGAGCGAAAATCTGCGTTTCACATAGTGCGAAGAGTCTTCGGTGCACAGCACATTGCAACAAGATCCTGTATACAGGAAAACACAAGATCTAAAATGCACGGCAGCCAGAGCACTCGAGTCATGTGCGCCTGCAGCGTAAAGACTTAAGTGACGTGCATCGCTTGTACCCGCAGTGCAACCTGCGACGGAGCTGCCACCTTCAGTGCAACATTGTGCAGAAAACACTCCTGATGGCATTGCTTAGCGCTCATCGTGTCGCAACAGTGATATTGTCCGTCATGCCTTAAAATCTGTGCAGGGTACTTGCAAATAATACTCAACAAGTGGGAAATCTACTCGTTGCTGGGAAGGTAGACTACGACTAGGCCATTGCTCAAAGGCGCTAAGGTGGCTTGTAACTGCCGTAATGACGCGTACAAAAGCGCATGTGCCAATATCGGGGATTAACGCACCCTCACATAATAGGCATATGGGGCTTATAAGTGAACCCAATCCGGCAACACACTCGCACCCGCACCATAACACCATCTTTACAGGGTACACATGTACAGGGTGTGTGTGTGTGCAATTTCCACTTTCCCATAAAACCTATGTATGAGAACAATCGACCTGCAAAATTTACAAATACCGCAAAAACTCGCATACACAAGCGTGTAGGCTTTTGTGTAGGTCGTTACGGCAGTTATCACTGTGACTCCATCACTTCCACTTCCAATCCTGGACAATCAGTCTGTGCACTACTACTGCAGTACATGGCCAGTTAATCAGCCAGGCGACTCATTAAGTCATTATCGCAATCAGTCAAAAATCAAAGATAAAGTGATTATTGGCATATTGCCTCCATGGCTGTGCAATGCTTTGTTGACGATACTGTAATCAGAAACGTTAGCCGCAAGCAAAACTGCTGCTGCTGCTGTCACCGCATGTCCTCGAACCACATACCAGGCTCCAAAAACCTGTTGATTACACGAGTGTGCACTGACCACCATACCCGGGCTATGGTCAACAGGCTTCACTTCCGTTGCGTAATACTCCTTTCCTGCCCCTCTGCTACATTGATAAAGGGGCCAGATACGGAGCACTGCTGCAATGCGATGGTAATCTATTACCATGTTCCACAGGTGTACAAGGACGTACTTCCAAGTTGGAAGTCAAGGTGCATGCACGGCAAGCCACAGCCTCATACTGTAAAAACCATATTTTTAACGAAGTGATAATTCTAACGAGTTTTAAAGAGGAGAAATCTGTTGTTAAAATAGAAAATGTTATACAGAAATCGATAAATACTAGTAAACTGTTGATACTGAGCGTTGAGCATGAGTGAGAATCGTTACCTTTGGTACACGTAAACCAGTCAATTTTAGGAAATCGTTATATATATGCGCCTCGTTAGAATAATGGCTTTTACACTGAGTATACTACGTTTTCTTCGTGCAGTGCAGAGTACATAAGTCATAAGGCAGGCCAGGTTGTAAATACATGCTGAGAAACCCAACACTTGCAAGCTGATGCTGATAAGCCTGAGGCCATGTTGCAGCACATGGTCATCTGCTGATTCTGAACTAGGCTATCTCACATACATGCAGGAGCTTCCTGGGCCAGACTGTAGCATGCTGCTTCAGCCTTCAACAAGACCCTCTCTACATAATCCATTTCCTTCTCTGCCGTCTGCCTTTGAATTTTGATGGTGAAAGAAACCGGCTCCTCTATGCAGGGTACACAGTTGGCGATGACCAGTTGTCAGGGTCACGACTACGAAACAGTTCTTGCACATCAGCTTTGTTACGTAGTATAGAAGGACCCCCCCGGGTATACGCGACTTTATGTCACTTCGCCAAGCAGCTGTTCTGTTGGCAGTGGGTAAGCTCATTTTCCTGGCAGCAGTATTGGATTAGTGACAAGGATGGAGAAGATCAGATGTTGTTTAATTTAATGTCATCATACTCTCAACAGTATCAGTTCTGGAAAGTAATACCCCTGTCAGTGTTCACCCCTGCCGGCAAATGCTATACGCAACAATGCAGCAAAGGCTAGCCGGAAGGCTTTTGAACAAGGGTATAGTAGTCGCAGCTTGACACACCGCTGCATGACATACCACACTCCACCACCGCCAAGGTAGGTGACAGGATACCGACAACCCTGTATCTGTGCCCTGGCTCTATTTCAAGCACACAATAAATCCCTTTCAGCACAGAGTCCAAAACATAGCAGTGTAAGTCGCTGCACAGAGAAGCCATTCACATGTTGTGCAAGTGGACGCGGATCTCTACTCAGGAACTGCTGAGGAAACCCATCGGAAATCGCAACTCCTTCAAACAGGCACTCCTGCCTACTCCAGTCTACATGCTCCCAGGAAATGTAATTACGAAGCTATGCCTAGCTCATAGTGCTCGGCAAGCACCATGCTGCTTCTAGCCACAGGCTTGGTCTAGTCTTCAGACTGCACTGATGCTGCAGGCGTCCAGTGATCTATCCGCCATGGCACAGGGCAATGTTTGAAGCAAAGTACCTCCACTCTGCAAGACACCAGCTTGCATACGGCCTTGAGCACCTGAAGGACTTCACTCCACAAGAGGATAAGCTTTCGAGCAATCAGGTAGCAAAGTGGACTCTTAAGGCCAACTGCCCTCCAAGCCAAGTACATAGCCACAGTAAAGGCCAATGTTCCCCTTCAGTTCTGTACAGCAACAGACCTCAGTACACACATTCTCTTTGCTGTTGAGACCTGGTTTCAATGCTACCCAATGCCAGGTGTGACCTCCAGGGATACAAACTGATGAACTGCATGCAGTCATCCCATCATAGAACCAGTGACACCAACAACCGCAGGACTGACGGGGAGCAGTAGATCCAGCAAAGGTGGCTGTGTGTTTGCATAGCAAAACGCGGGTGTTCAGGGATGTGTTGGAATCCCTTCACAGGCTTCAGTATGCAGAGAAAGTCAGTTTAGACCAGTGCCAGTGTCACCCTGAGTAGCTATAGCACATGTAGCAGCTACTGAGCTGTTACTGTTAGTTGTGGAGCTAACAAACATGCCTTGGGCAATACTAGTTTAGTATCCCATCATAACTATCCCTGTAAGATCAGACAAGTACCGACAAAGGAAAATTTGATAAATGACAACTGAATTTATATAAATATACACAACAGCGGTGTCCACATGCTACTATATCTAACAGTGCGACTAACACCTAATCATTTTCGTTAGTCATGATTCAACAGAGCCGGGTTGTAACTACACTGCACATCAAAACAGAAATCAAACCGAATCTTTCCTATGTATTCACTCCCTGCCCTCTGTTGTCCATGATAGATGAAAACCTGTCAGCCTAATTGCCCATGAGGCGGGGACTTGCAGCGCCTGCTGGCTACAATTGCTTGCTTGGAGTACAGCGTCAGTACAGGCCAGGGCATTGTGCTCTCTATTCATTACAAACAGGGCAGACTGCCACACAAACAATCTACAAACCAGAAGATATTTATGTGGGGGTTACCAACACTTGAAATACTAGGGGAGATGCGTATATTCCTCTATGAATGGGGTCTGGAAACACATTATCACAGACAAGTGCAAGCGTTTTACTCCGCCAGGAGCTGCTTTTGCAAGAAACACTGCTACAATAATGACTACCAATCATGACTCAACTCTCTGATGTCCTTCAGCAGAGAATTATGCAAATACCAAACAAAGCCAAGTTTCTGTCCAACACCTGTTTCATAAGCATGGAGATGTTGGTCTGGGGCGTCGGACACCGTCGGTATTGACCGTACCACGTGAATTAATAAAATACACTCATCTGGGCTCTAAATTTTCAAAATGTTCGGCTCAGCCACCCCTCCCCCACAAGTAAATAGTGCTTCAGATGGCTGACCGTACCACCACACTAAAATGCCTTCCAACGTCCCTGTTGGTGTACATACTAATGCTGTGTTGTGATCAGCCAACCAAACGGATCCATTGCACTGTTACAATCTCACTCATTACTCCAGTCGCTCCGTTCTTACATGCAAATAGCCTTCAGATCATGAACCAGGAAGCTGTAAGATGTTATACCAGTTCCCAATGAACCCCAGGATTGCCAGTAACCGAACACAACTTTACTCTCAGTAAATGTGTCAATTGATTTTGCGCTTTACGAACTAAGATGTTGCACTACATCGCTATTTTTCTCGGATGGTTCTATTTCTTCCTTGATGTGTCTGCGGACCCTTGTGAGCTTTGCCAATTAGTAGAATAAAAACTCTTTATTCATTAGGTGGAGGGACTAGGTAATCTATTATCTGTATTGAAATTAGCTGTTAGTGACTGTAAAAGCCATTATTCTAACGAGGCGCATATAATATATAACGATTTCCTAAAATTGACTGGTTTACGTGTACGAAAGGTAACGATTCTCACTCATTCTCAACGCTCAATAGAACAGTGTATGTATCGATTTCTGTATAACGATTTCTATTTTAACGACAGATTTCTCCTCGTTAACTCGTTAGAATTAGCACTTCTGGTATGGTATTGATTTATTTGAATTCGGTATCTCAACAGTACAATGTACAACTTGGGAAGATCCGAATGACATAGATACATATATTATAATTATGGCTTTTACAGTATCTGCACTTGGAAGGACTGACGAATTCCAAATTCAGACTACCGATCGGCAATTCAAACTTTCCTGAAGTTCCGGTCTTCGTGTATGATTCCTGCCAATTGTACCAAAAAGAAAGTAGTGCTATGTGGTCTTGCAAAGACTGTGTAATGATGTGCTCAAATACCACAGAGCTCTGGAAGGTGCCACAGCACCTGTGTGGCCTGACTGTGTGGCCTGACTAGAAGATGACAATTAAATTTAATGGATGGAATTATTTGTCAATGTCACGTACATGTATGTCGCAAAGATCACTGGCTATCCACTACTATGTTCCGAAAAGCAGTTTCTGAGCCATGCAGTACGCAGCGAACACCACCAGTTGACCTACTTCCGCAATGCAGACAGCATTAATTAATATTTTGCAGAATTCAACATGACTGTGCCATTCGAATGGCATGGCACCGTGGCCAGCACGCAAGGAATTAGAAGCTTCGTCTCAAGTTTCGCAACTCACCTGACTTTCTTGCCGCCCGTACCAGCGCGAGACTGTGGCCTGACAGGACTGCCGGCTGCTAGGAACACCGTTGTCAGGATTACCAGAGGCAGAATGTCCGGGAGAAAGAACGAGCGCACACTTCGGCCCATTTTGCGCAGCAGTGCGCACGAGAGGGCTCTACTCTTTTGCAACGCGGCTGACTGTTGGTACAGAGGAACGCGGTGCAGAGACAGCTCAAGGATTGAAAGCAGAAAGTGCACAGGTCTGCGGCGTGTTTTTCTTGGAGCGCATAGCCTCCAGTCCACACTGTAACAACGCCACCCTGCTGGGCAATAAACTGCTGAAAACCTCCACCAATTCACCAGATAATATCCAAATAATTAGTTGCAGGCTTCTGAGCGCTGCCTCTACTGATCCTGACACACATGTACAGTAGGTGTCCGCAAGGGCATACTCATGTGACTGGCGCACGTCTCCGTCAAACTGTTACGGAACAAATGATGGAATAATCCAGTCTAGTCTTGAGCCAACTGCTCTAGCTAAGCGCACAGCCACTGGCACTTTGTAGCGCTGTCGTGTTCGTTTGCCTGGCAGTTGTTACGCCTGTAGCTGTACTGCCACTGGCATGATGGTAGGTGGTCCTGCCACACGAGTCACGACTCTGTCAAGTAAGTTAGTTCTCTGGTCAAATAAAACACTTCAGCCGTCAGCGAGCCGGCTATGAAGTATGATAAAATACGCACCGGCAAACCTTCTCTCTCTCTCTCTTTCGACTCTATCACCACTCTCCCCCTTTCAAGTAATAATTCACGACTCACGTGCGACGGTGGTCCTCGATCATCACGGCCGACACGGCGGCAGTTACACGACCCAAGCCACTTGTCTATCGAGTATCGTAGATATACGCTACACTCCTAATAATCAGACTACAGTTACATGGAGCAGTGCAGTTCAGCTAGTGCAGACGGTGTAGACAGGGCCTGCGCGATCCCGAGCCGGCCAGGCGGGAGAAATCAGACGGTGAAGTGTTACTAATAGTGTTACAGACGTGTTGTGCAGAACTGCCTGTGTTTTAGAGTGGTGATGCCAAATAATTTCTGGTCATGCGAGTGAAATGTGGAATGTAGAGAGTAAAGCGCCGAAAGAGCCGAAAACGTCGCCGTCACCTTGCCAGACCACTGATCTGAGCGAGGTGCAGGTGAGCAACGCAATACTGCCAATAGAAATTCTATAAGTAACAGTTAGTTATGCCGCGAGACAAACGCCGGGCTGCCGACAGCTAGCTGCGAATAGAGAAGCTATTTGCGGGCACAGACGGGCATATGTTGCGCCGCTATGTCATTATGCCATTTATGGATAAGGCTTGCGCGAGTTATGTTGCATGTGACAAATTACTAAATAATTGTAGCAATTCCCTACCACCAGTACAGTAGTAGTCATTGGGCTAGAGAGAGAGAGACGCTCGCTGTGCTATGGAGTATGCGGAGTAATGACTGTATACATGTAGTAAATACTAAAATTGTTTAATATACAATCATGTACATGACTGTACGTATCACAGGTTCTTGTAAGTGCACTTCGACGAAATAATTCTCTTTCCTTCAAGGTGCTCTGTCCGAAGTTTCTCCTTCTTTCCCTTTCTGGTTATTAATTTTTGTTTTCAGTTCGACGTACTACAATGCGTTAGATTTCAGTTGCCAGCACTGTAGTACAAAATCATTGTACATTTATTAACATCTTATGGCTTCCGATGGCAGCCAAAACGGGAAGATGTGGGTGATAGCCAACCATGGTAAAAGAAGGAGAAGATTATATACATGAAAAGGAAGCAGCCGAAAAGTTATATTGATTAGTTTTTTTTATTATTATGGTGCACTCAGTCATCAGCAGGCCCTCAGATTCACTTTAAATTCTTTCAATGATGCAGAAGTCTTCACTGAGTCGGGAAGTTGTAGCCACGCACAGTAGCCCTGGAAGAATGGCGATCTTGTGAATGGCGTTGACTTGGCCTTGGGAAGAGACACTTTGTTTCTGGTTGATCGGCCCGAAACAAACCAGTTATAAGGGTTTATATGTTCAGGAACACAACCCAAGAGCATTCTATGAACCAATATACAGAGGCAAGTTAGTCGGCGTTGCTCTAACGGAGTAGTCTGAGCTAATAAGTACAACTCATTGGAGAGAAAGGAAGGTTTCTTCGAGAACAAATTTTTTAGAACTTTCTTATGATGAACTTCAATGGAATCGGATAAGAGACCTTAGCTAGGCCACACCAGGCTGTGGCAGCATATTCAAACAATGGAAGGAGATAAATTTTATATATAGCTGAACGGCACGGAATAGAGAGATGTTTACAATGACTTTTAATATAGCCAAGAGCACGGCTGACTTTATTACAAATGTAATCTACATGAGCTGACCAGGACATGGATGAATCGAACATTACCCCTAGGTGTTTGGGCTCCTTTACCGTCTGAATTTCTGTGGGTGAATTGGGAAAGGTGAACTAAAACATTGAGGCAGAATCTGTTAGAAACAGTACTCTGGTTTTTGAAACGTTTGCCTGAAGCCTCCAACTGGACATCCAGGTGACAATCATATTTATCGCGTCTTGCAACTCTGACTCAAGCTGTTTGACAGTTTTACAGTGGCGCAAAGCAGCTGTATCGTCAGCAAACAATGACATTCCAGAAACATGACTTAGTAGATCATTAACATACAAAACAAAAAGCAATGGTCCAAGAATTGAGCCCTGAGGCACCCCCGACAGCACGGGTAGCTGTGGACTGTACAGTCATGTGCATAATATGTGACTGTGTTGTATATCACCACTGACTCGCGTGTTGAAAGCGGACATCCTCCTCGGACCTCCTAGGCTCCATCCAGTCTGTAGTCCTAGGTTGTGGCCGTCTAGACAAGGAAGTCCTGCAATGACTCTTATCGGTACATTCATCGGCGACGCACTCCGCGGTCCGTCACTCGGCGTCAGTTACTCAACAGTACCAGTGTTGGCTGGTGACAGGTCTTGGAAAACCACATTCAATTGTGAATGCGAACCAGTCCTATCATTGTCAACGCTACGGAAACAACGGTACAGTTGCCACATAATTACGCAGCAGTCGACTTGATGTGTCGTCCTGAGCCCCCTTTGCCACATTCCCTTTCATGTACATGTACATACTGCTCTTGTTGTTGTTGTTGTTGTTGTTGTCGTCGTCGTCGTCGTCGTCTTCAGATCATAACATGTGTTTTTGTGGAACTTGATGTTGAGGATTACTGTAAGACATGTAAATCTAACGAGGTAGTACTAGGCTCCGGCGGATTATGCTCGCGAAATCATGGAATTATGCGTTCAAGGATTCTCGCATTATGCTCGTAAAATCCTCATATTATGCTTTGGCACCCGGGGATATAATTATAATCACTTTGTTGTACTTATGGAGCCTCAAAGCTCGGAAATGCGTAATTGCGCTTTTTTCGTACTTGCAAGTTGCAAGTGGCCATAAGCATAACAAAATACATGAGTATCCCCATATCAAGGTGTCCATGCATGTTAGAGATCAACATGGAAAAGAGAAAACATTACTTCTTCTATTCATCACTTGATTTCTTTTGTACTTCAGTAAAAAATATTATTTCATTGCCAAATTAGTTTGAGTTATCTTTGAAAATTGTCATGTTCAACTCACGGTCTTCGTAATCATCATACTCGTCCAACCGATGTCACCCTCTACCTGCGAATAATCAGCTCATCTCTCCCGTAGCTACACTTCTCCTTCCATCATGACCGAACATCAACTATACATGTACATCAATTTCGAGCAATATCTATAGCATGCAGTCATAATTATTATCATTATGAGTGCCAAAATCCAGAGGTCCTGACTTCGTAACATGCATAAAATGTAGTGTACATGATATATCCCGCGGAAGGTTGTAGTAAGGTCACCGTTTCCAAACACAGTGTCCTCCACCTTGTTTCATGCTGTCAATCTAACAATTATGATTGTACATGTACATGTAAACGGAGTTTTGCGGACTACCCGCCACTATCTAGTCCGCCCCGGGATACCTGATGAAGGCTGAATCTGGCTGATTCACTCGCATCTTCTGCTACGTGTAGATCTACTGTGTCAGTGTGAGAAAGAACTTTGAAGAAGACGAGTTCGAGCATACAATACTCAGTATTGCCATGATTTCTTCCCTGCTTTTGAGTTCCCTTCGGGAACGGATACGATAATTTACTTTTACTTTTACTTTCATTGAAAACACTATCGGCATGACCTCCGAACCCTTTACCATGCAGACCACCAGCACTGATCAGGTGCATTATCCTACATACTAGAAGAACTGTGGTATAATCGTGTAGTTATGCTCCTACCTCCGAGAGGATGCCAAATTTGCTCCAAATTTCCAACCACCAAATTATGCCAATAATTGTGCCGGAATAATCCGCCGGTGCCTAGGAAGTACTTGTATCTGATATAAGGTTGTAAACTTGTAATGGATACGACTCCTGGAAGATTCGTCGTCTCTGCATGTTAACTCTCTCCTTGTCCATGGCTGCTATCACAAGCAGTTTCACAGTTCGGCAGCGCATGATGAAAACGCTTTGGCCCTTTCCACCACCACAATGGCTGGGGTCATCGGGAGGGGACCAAGCTCAAAACCAACAAACAAAATAACAACCTCAGTTACTAGTACCTGGCCCACACGACTGCTGAACCACTTACCGACGCACGCCACAGCTAAGACAAGTCCTTCGAAGATTAGTAGAGAGGAAAAGAAAAAAACTTGTGAAAGAAAAGAAGAAAAAGTCCACAACACGAGGTATTCCCAGGCGGTCACCCATCCAAGTACTAAACTCCGCCTACTGTCGTACCCGCCGCGCACACTGCCTCCCTGCAACTAGACCTTGATAGATGTGTGAACTGATCCCATAAAGCTGAAGCAGTTTTCAATGCTAACAAATGTGTCCATGTTCCCTTTTGCAGACCTAAATCAAACCCACCTGATCCCAGGATATCACCATGGCCGGTACGTTACTGACCCAGCCCTCTTCCCACCGCCATCTGGGCATCATCCTCACTCCTTCACTCAATCTGTCCCCCCATATTCAACACATTACAAGCAAATTTCGAGGTCGGGTTTGTCTTTTAAACCACATGTCCAACTCCCTTCCTTTTCCTGCTGTGAATCTTTTGTATAAATGTTATGTTCGTCCCCTCCTTGAATATGCTGTTCCCGTTTGGATGTTTTCCGTTTCAGCCATCATGTCCACAACCCTTGATAAACTGCAGGTTACTGCTGCTAGAGCATACTAAATAGTAAACTCAAGCGTCGGCCTGACTGGACGACTTCCAAAGAAGACCTCAATGTTCTGTCCTCTTGGGAATCTTTAGAATGGCAACGGCAGATTCTTGGCCTTGTCTATTTCCACCATGTATTCTTCCAATACCTTTCCTTGTTGTCTCACTTCCAGCTACCCTCTTTCCAAAGCAGTCGTCACCTCTCATCCATAATTCTTCCTAAAGCTGGCACCTACTTTCGTAAATCAACCCTTTTTTCTTTGAGTGTTGCTTGGAATAAACTTCCTGAAGATATTCGTTCACTCTCTACAACAGCGAAATTAAGTATTGCTGTTCGTCGGTATCATTCGCAATCTATGTTTTCGTTGAAAGGTATTCCTGACTTTTGTGTCTAGGCTAACCACATGTATGATAGTTTCAATAGTTTGTGTATCTGTCAGTTATAGTAGTCCGCAATGCTGCTATTCTAATTCTCATTATGATTAGCATGCAATGTACTACCCGAAGTACTGAATTTACTTCTT